TATATTAGCTTCTGGTCGCATACTTTAGAATTTATCTAAAAATATCCTTATATTTCGTTTTCTTCCTTAATATGGTAAATTGCTTTCCTCAGCTTCCTGATAGGTAACTATTTTTCATATATGAAGTTTTCTACAAACTTATGGAACTGATTGGTTCTATCATCTAGTTTTTTACTTTGTTTGATTGCGCGCTTGCTATGCTTGGTTCTCTTTTGTACATGCCTACTGCAACCGTTTTGCCTGTCTAGAAGAGCCTTCTCGCCTAAATTCGTTTCGGTACATGATTATTCGTAATTGTATGCCAAGTAGTAAATGAAATTTTGCCCTACTTAAGTGGGTCATTATCACAGGGCAGATTTTAATACTTCTTTGCTTGTAAAACTACATATAAAACCACGAAACTCCGTGCATATGCATGACACGGAGGAGCAGATTTTTTTCATTCTTAAATTTCTCGTTACTCATTTTTTCATTTACTTACTTTTTGCATTCATTTCGTCGTGGGGTTTATGAATTATTCTGCTTAATTGTCTAATAGTATAACATAATAGTATAATATATAGTAGAGTATATATATATATAATAATAATATAATAATATTATATATATAAAATATAATATAATAATATAATATATAGTATAGTATAGTATAGTATATAATAGTATAACAGAATTGTCTGTCTTCGCATGCACCTATTAATGCATATTTTCATTGCTCTTTCTTTTCATACTTAACGATTTTCACTTTTTTGCTCATTCTTCCTTTTTACTTTCGCTCTTTCGCAACTTATTATTCCTTCCGCTCCCTTGTTCCCATTCACTTCATTTGATTGCTTCCTCTCCTCTCTTTCTTCACTTAATTTAGCTGTTCTTTATATTTTTGACTCTGCATACCTTATCTTATCCATTCAGACAAAGTCTCTTCTTTTCCATCTTTTCTTTTTATCTTGTACACTCGCAATTTCGCTTTAATACTGTCTTTTCCCTAATTTCACCTAATTATTTTCTTAATTCTTCTGCATATTCTTCATTTGCCTTCATTGCAGATTCCAGTTTGACCATTGACCCTGTAACTGCAGCCGACTTGGGCATCTACCAGTGTGTGCTTCACCGAATCAGCGATTTTGAGTATTCGACGGTCAGCGACAATCTGGGAGTCTCTATGCCTACTTGGAGCGGTTTTTCAACAGCTCTAGATGCCGAGGAGGAATGGGTCTCTGCTAGTGCCTTGTTGGCGCTGCGCTCCGATCGGGTGGCTCGCTCGGGTAGGCTAAACTGTAGCCTCGATTGTGTGCCATAAAGTCTTTTAGTTACATTCTTTGCAGCTGATTGACGGATAAACTTTTCATGACTAATAAAAGCCTCGTTGTTGGCATACTTCATTATATCCGGTCATTATTACTGAAAAGCTTCGGAGAGTGCATCTTATGTTACATCCTTTATTCGTTTATTCATGTATACCTTCCAAAACATCAAGTATTTGACTGATTTTATTTTTTAATGGTGCTACAATTTTCATAATTATTGATATACTTTTGCAAAACACAGAGACAGCCCATCAGTGGCAATCTACTTCGCTCTATTTACTGACACTTTGGGCTCAATCCATAATAGTTAGTTTTAATGCTGAAAGTGGTACTTAAACAGTTTTATATTAGGCTTTTACCTTTTTGCCCCTACAGCGTCTTCAAGAAGCCACTTATAAGCTATATTCCGTTACATTACCTTAAATTGCTAGTCTACTCATTTTTTATCCCTCTTAATTACCGCAATTATTAATTATTTTTCACCTTTATTTTTGGCCCGGAAAATGAATAATTCTCTTCGTTACCCTTGCTAGTTGTGGCACAAGAGACTGACAGAAAATTTCCTCTCTGGTGGATATTCTGGGTGTGGCCTAATGATGCAATATTGTTATTTATAGGCACGATACTTGTAGACATTTTGGCTCATGCATGTATTGAGAACAAATATTTCTAGACCTCATTTTTACCCCAAATACCTTGGCTACTTGCTAAACTAGTCTTCTTCATTGTTTCTATTCCTTCGGTTCAGCATGGGCAATTTTTGGGACAGTTTAACCTTGTTTTAGCAACTTTGTTGTGTGTACATAGAGTGTGTTTTCGTCTTCCAACATCGATCTGTTGACTGGGTACTTTCGCAGACGTTTCGGCATCCACGATCACAAGCGCCATCTTTAGTACCGAGTTACAACTGGTCACAGTGTCAAAAAAAGTAAATCGTGTTGACCTCGTCACAATTCGGTCTTGTTGTCATGGCGACTATGTAGAACGCACCTAGTCCGAAGTCGTCTGCGATAGTAGTTGTCGCAGCATCAGACAGTGGACTTGGTACATTCTCAAACGTTTCGCCGGCATCATAGTCGGCATCATCAGTGAGTTTGGCCATTCTCCGTAACAAGCTACGAACTCGTCAAAGAGACAAATGAAGTCAATTCCTCGACAAACAGGGGTCGGAGGGAATAGCAAGTGTGATGAGGCCACATTAGATTTGCCACAAAAGGACACACATTTTGACGAGTGGAATGTAAACAAGTCAGAATTTGTGATAGGGCGGTAGTGGATAAGAGGGTAAAGAGTAGATAGATAGAAAATGACAGAAAGAGGAGTGATAATGTAACCGTTTTCTGCAGAACGTTTGACGAGGGATTGACTTCACTTGTCTCTGACGCGTTCGTAGCTTGGTGCAGAGAATGGTAAAACTCACTGTTGATGCCGACTACGATGCCGGCGAAACGTTTGAGAATGTATCAAGTCCACTGTCTGATGCTGGGAATCGTGGCAACTAATATGGCGGACGACTTCGGACTAGGCGCGTTCTACTAAGTCCCCTTGACAACAAGATCATGTTTCTACAACGAGTTCAACCCACTTCTATAAACGG